AAAAGTCCAGTACAAGCCATTTGTAGGGCTTGGGATTTGTTCTTTTAAAAACAACAGGGAAATGCAACAAACTGATATTTCCACTTTTCAAAATCCTTCAAGGAAAGAGTGGATCATAGGTCATAGAAGATTAACCTAACGAAACCCACTTTCTCCCCACCAATAGTTTATACACCTTCCATAATCTTAATACATATCCCTGAATGAAGATTTACAGTTCAGCTTTGCTTACATTAACCATTTTAAAATGCCAATAAAAAGCAAGCTAGTGCTTGCTTCCTACATTGCCAAACAACTGCTCCTAGATGCATTTCTTCTTAAAACAAGGGGGTCATCATTTGTACAAAGCAATAGTTAGCTTCCATATACATTTTCCAGAATGGCATGGCCATTCAAAACCTAGACACTCTCACACTTGCAAAGTGGAATCTCGAGTGGAATATAGAAGCATGAATGGCAAAATTGAAGATCAGTAGCAGAATTATTTTCTATTTATTTAAAGCATAGTAAAAAATGGTACACTTTGGAAATTCAGCGGCATAAGGTACATTGCATTAATTTGAGGAACATCATACAGTTAAAAAAAAGAAAAAGGAAATTTTTATTAACAGTGCTCCTGTTTTGAGAACTGCATTACATAATTTTACCTTCCCAAACAGACCATTCACAAATATCAGGTCGATAAACTGCTAACATCCATAAAAATGGTAGCTTCTGACTAAAATGCAAGAATTTAAAAGTGGTATCACACAAATTCTTAAGAGTAACATTTCTGGTTATTTCATATACCTTTTTTGAATAGGAATTGACAAGTTGTCCTTAAAATTTTTGCATATCTTACTCTTCTGTCATTTGTTTGTGAGTCAGCTTATTTCTTCCCAAACCATTAAATGCTCAAAATTCTCAAATCTGATGGGTAGAAATTTTTACTTACTATTTGTGTGTGTGTGTGTGTGTGTGTGTGTGTGTGTATGGGGATCAAATTCAGGGCCTGGGTGTACTAGGCAAGCACATTACTATTGACCTACATCCACAGCCTTGTATATTACAATTCTTAAAAGCTCACATATCCTGGAACATATACAACCAACTGAATAGTGCCTTATTGTCTTAGATTTCTAAAGTTACTATTGTTTAAAACCTTCATCAAACTTCTTTCTTGGAATAGCTTTCATAACAACTTAATAAGCTATCTACCCCAAATCACTTTTTCTTAATATTCTCAAATGATATTCTTCATCTTGAAAAACAGTACCAAGAATTTGTATGGGGCTCATTTCAACAATAACTATCAATGATTTCCAAAGCCAACTCAGTAAAAAATCTCTAGAACAACTGCTATTTGTATTGATTTCTATTATATAATCAAAGTAGTAAAATGAGTTCTATCAATTGAAGCTTCAAGTCAAGTCCCCTTAATTCCCAGTCCTCAGCCTCTATCTCTATCTATCTATCTATCTGTCTATCTATCATCTGTCTATCTATCATCTATCTATCTATCTATCTATCTATCTATCTATCTATCTATCTATTCAGAAGCTTCCAAGTCATACATTTATTCACTGGGCTATGAATAAGGATAGTATAAGATAATGACTCATTTATTATTTTATTCAACAGATGTATATTGAGTACCCACTGTACCAGGCACTGAGGTAGATTCTATGGGTACAATTATGAGCATGAAGACACTTGGTACTTGCTTTCATGGAACTTACTAACACAGGAGATGTAAATTGATCAAGTAATTACATACACGATATATAGGTTGTGCCTATATATATGTGTGTGTATGTAGTTAAAAATTTCATATATAATTAAAAACTTAAGGCGATGCTATCAGTAAGTAATAGGCAATGTTTATTGAATTGTTACTATGTTCCAGGCACTGTGACAGTGCTTTATAGATACTATATCATATAAGTCTTCACAAATCTATGAGGTAGATATTGTAATTATCACCATCTTATACATAAGAAGCTAAGACTCGTAGAAAAGAAGGAAATTGTCAGGTAACCTTGCAATAAGCAATGAGATAGGATTTGATTCTAGGCAGTCTAATTTCAGTGGCTGTGAGTGTGACTATTGACTGATGCCCTTCTCTCTGTGGGAATGAAATTTAGAAAACTGATCTAGTCCAGGGAGTTCAAGATTGCTTGAGTCAGCTGCTGTTGCATGTTGAAATCCACATTAAATACTTTTGACTTTCATCTCTACACTGATAAGAAGCCATGGATGATTTTAATAGGGAAAAATAAAATTGGATTTGAGATTTGAAAGGATAACTTTGGTGGAAAATGGATCAGAGAGGCAAGAGAAGCAGGGAAGCTAGCTGGGAGGTTACTGAGAAAGCTCATGTGAGAGATGATTGCGGTTTGGATGAGGGCTAAGATGGTGGTAATGGACAGAAATGGAAGAATTTGAGAAGAAGCAAGACGTGGTCTATGTGGTGATGGACAGAAATGGATGAATTTGAGGAAAAGCAAGAACAGGGCTTTTGGTGGTGTGGAAATTGGAAGGAAGAAGAGGAGGAAGATAAGAATTTTGTCTTTATTTCTGACTGTGGCATTGAATACTGGTGGTGCCTTTCAGCTAGAGAGGAGACAGTGGTTGAGGACCAGGCTTGGTAGAGGAGAGAAGGTAATGCTCCTGGAAAAGGTGGCAATTCAAATCATTTGGTATTTCCAAGTGTAAATGCAAAAAGACAGGTATCAGCAAAGCTCAGAGAGGAGGGTGAAGATAAAAGTGGGAGCCATGGGTGTGAGACTGATTGGTGGCACTGTCGTGACTGTGCCGTCAAGCAGGAAGGAGGCACTGGGCATGGAAGGAAGGAGTCAACATTGTTACCTTGAGGATTTCTCAATGGACAGCAGATGTGGAGAAAGAACTAGAAAACCAAACTGCAGAAGAGTGGCCCAGAGGACAGGGAGATGTCACAGGAATTATTTAGGGACAGAGGGAACTTAAAATATTCAAATGCTGCTAGAGTTCAGATAGCATAAGGATTTTTTTAAAAAATGTTGTTTGAATTTAACAGATAGAAGGTAGCCTTCTGGATTTCTCCTTTGTTTTCCTCTATCAAGTAACATCATTTATCAAGTTAGAAAGCAGCAAAACCAGTATTAGTTTAATTTTGAGTAAAAATATTCTCACCTTGTATTCAGAGACAATGTCAAAATATTTTTAGAAGAATGCTTTTGCATTTTTAGAAATTATTCTCAAAACATCGAATATATAAATCATAGTATTAAATAATGTGTATATAATAATATTCTTGAAAATACTCTTAGAACTTAGCATTAGCAAAAAGTTCCTCTCAAGGAATTGGTAAGTTTATTTTTATGGACTAAGAAACTATTAACCCAATTATATTAACTTAGTAAATATTAACCTTATATCTAACAATATAACCTAAATATTACCAGAAATTCAGAGCTACAGTTAATATAGAAGGGATTTAATCATTGAAATGATTCCTGTCTCTTACATTTATGTTTTCTCTGACTTTATACTGGTATTTCTTACTTAGGTATTATGTAGCATGTGAGCTAATGTGGGAAATTATTTATATTCTTTTTTGAATAAAAGTTATTAAAAGTTAATATCTAAAGAAGTAGTTAGGTCAACGAGTATACAAATGGTCCATACACTCTATTCTCAATAATTTTGAAGATAAGTCAGCATAAATACATTCTAATCTGGCTCAGCCGCATGCTAGCCTGTTATTCTGTGAATTGAATATTAATACCTACCATATTCAGTTGCTTTAAAGTGTAAATGTGGTAATATATACAAAATGACCACTATACTTGGCAGACGGTAGTAACTTAACTATTGTTTTCTTCTGAAATCCTTCTCCAATCATCAAATTATGTTTTCAGAGTAGAATTTGTTAAAAAGGTAATTTTAGATTTTTGGTCATATCTTCTCTTAGGCTTACCTCAGCTACCCTGGCACTTACTGTCTTATTTGATTTTGTATTCCTAATGTCTACCTCATTCATTAGCATGGGTCCTATATTCAGTTCATGCTGTCGAATGAATGAATGAGTGGCAAATGTGAGAGAGAATGAATGGCGAATGGACCTGGAGTGCATCCATGATCACCTCCCTCTAGTCCCTTTTGCCTTCTTTTTATTAAGTGTAACTCTTCCCCATTCTTTGAGAACCCTCAAATCCTACTTCCATTTTGAAGCTTCTTATAATTATAAGGTGCACAGATTGGTCACCTGCCTTCTATTTAGGTGGTTTTCACGATATTTCTAGCAGTAATTTTTCTTAATTGAAAAACCTTGCATAAGACTCTTAGGTTATAAAAGAGACTGTGGGAGTGCTCCGCCCACTTTCCCTACCCACTCTGCAGTAGACTTTCCACCTTGCACAGTACACATCTCCTCTTGGATATCCCTTATATCTTGACCCAAAATTACATTCCACAAACCACCCTGCTTTATTTTTCTGTCCTCCCATGTATTTATTCATAATGCATATCATGGTCCACCTCCATAGAACGTTAAAATCCCCTGGAAGCAGGAAGAATGCCTTAACTTTCCTGTCTATCTCTGATGAGATCCACATGGGTGTTGAAAGTTTAATGAGTCCCCAAGAAGTGCTTGTTATTCTTCTGCAGTTTCTTTCTCCCTTCTTGAGATAATGTCAAGTAAGGTGAATTGAAATTCTCTTGATTTGTGTAGTCAGCTCATCAGAAAGAGCCTTTATTATGAGAACTTAAGAACCTGATTCTGTTACTGAATGGGGAAAAAAGACCTTGTTTCTGTGTGAATCACTCTATATACATTGCCTCATTCAGTTCTCATGTCCCTGTGGGGTAGATATCCACATTCCAGTTTTAATTATGGGAAACAGGACATTTCAAGTAACTTTGCCTTGAGTCCCACAGCAAAATACACTTACATTCATTAATGTTTGACTCTGAAACTTTGGATTTCTCCACTGTAGCATGAGATCTCAGTGTTTTAATTATTTTTTTTTTCTTGGAAGGAGCCTTATACCCAGATGGAACATCTGGCAGGAACAAGGATGATGACATGGTTCCTCCTGGCAAAAACTATACCTATGTCTGGCCAGTGAGAGAGGAATATGCACCTGCTCCTGCAGATGCCAACTGCCTGACCTGGGTGTACCATTCACACATTGATGCCCCTAAGGATATCTGCTCTGGGCTAATTGGACCCCTGCTGGTGTGTAAGGAAGGTAAGGCAACTCCCAGTCCTCAGGAGTCTATTCTCAGGTAACTAGTGTGTAGTGTGTTTCCTTCCTTCGTTCCATACTCCATAGAGAATATGTGTCCTCTAAACTTTCTTTAGGATTAGGAAAGTTCTTGTAATGTGGTATCAATCTGACACCATAGCGGGGAGTTAATAATTCACATTTTGTTTAAGAATCATACCAGCATTCTGAAACATACATGATTTATGTTTTATAAAATAGCATTCCTTAACACTATATGTAGGAAAGTGAAAATTTTAGTAAAATTATTAGGGATTGCTTTTGCTTCATTATTTTACCTAATTAGTTTCTTTTTACTCACTTTTAACTGATTTAGTGTGTCTGGGCTGTCAATATAATCTACTCCCTTGAGGAATGGCCAGGTTTTCCAGGTCTGCACTTGTGAAAATTTCTGTTTTATGACTTTGCTTTTTGATAGTTCTGTCATTTCCATCAAAGCCCTTTGCTGCTTTATATTATGAGTTATGGGTTGTCTATATATATTTGTGTTCTTGACAAATTTCAGGCCTACTCAACATCATTGGCAGAAAGGAAAGTTCGCTTTGATTTAGTTCACCTTGAACTTTTTAATCTAGTCTCTTGAATGTGCCCAATAGGTATGCTGAACAGATATTCAGGGACAAGGACTGATGTGGATAGAGAGTTCATTATAATGTTTACTCTCGTGGATGAGAATCAAAGCTGGTACCTTGATGAAAATATCAGACATTTCTGCACTGACCCAGATTCAGTAGACAAAGATGATGCTGTATTTCAGAGAAGCAACAAAATGCATGGTAAGTATCTCTCATGCTCTCAAATACGTGCCATGCTTTTATGCCATGGCATAAGGTACTATGAGGGAGGCATGTTGAACCTGGTTTTGCAAGGTGTATAACTTAGTGACAACAGTGGTTTGAAAGTGGTATAAATAAAGCATAACACACGCTGGAACCTAAACAAATCTGAGAGAGGACAAGCCAAACTGAGTACTATGCGCAAGGTTGTAATACCAAACTATACGAGTAAGGTTTCAGTACATACTTGTGAGTTTGTTATGTTGTGTTCCCAGACATTCTTTAAACCAACAACACTTATTGAACATCCACTGTACACCAGACCTTGCAAAATAGTGAAATTTCTACAGTTACACTGACAATTGAAACAGAAAACTTAGCGTGCCAGTTTTGCAGAGTGGGGTTTAATGTAGCATTTTAGGATGTGGGGATTAAGTGGTCTCTTTCCACTTTTTTCCTAGATAGTTCTAGTGGACATAAAGGAAATCTTTAATGTAAACCTCCCAGTTCATTCGTTTTTTGCTTGCCTATCTCAGAATCATCTTTACTGAGTCAGCCTGAATGTTGTCATGAAATCATAAGAAAGGGAAGGAGTCCTGGCAACATCTAGTAAAAACTGCTTCATCTTTATCTTTTTACTTTTTAAATTAACAAAATATAAACATCTCTCATAGTGCCCTCAAATTAGACCCTTTCTTTTATCATTCTGCTGCATGCTTTTGTCATTAAATTAAGTGGATACTATATTCCAGCTTTTCTGCTAGATCCTGATAGCCATTAGATGAGCAAGACAGTTTCCAGTTCTGAGGAACACAGATTCTGGTGTGGATGGTAGATATACAAATAAAGGAATAGGATGGGAGCTGACTGAGATATCCTGGAAGTGTGAGCAGCACTCGATCTTCTTCTGACCTTAAAATTATGCTCACATGCAGCTCTCAGTGTGTGCCAATCTCCTCTTTTTCCTCCTCCTCCCTCTTCTCTTCCCCTTTGTCCTCCTCTTTCCCTTTTCCCTCCCCATCCTTCTCCCTCTCCTTCTTTTATTTTAGTTTGTTTTTTTGAATTGGGGGTCTCACTATGTAGTATAGCCAAGCTCGTCTGGAACTTGTGGTCCTCCTGCCTCAACCACCTGAGTGCTGGGATTACAGGTATGTAGCAACATGTCTGGCTTGATCTTTACTTCTACTGAGTGTTTTTGTCTCAAAAAAAAAAAAACCAAGTCAAAGTTTTTATTTCCTTTCTTTCCATACTACTTTTTAAGAGCTAGAATGTCTCCAAAAAACATTATAACCAATGATCTGCTTTGGTTTTCCAGTATTACCAATGTTTTGGTCCTGTTCACCTCTGTAGGAGAGTCATTGCCCACTAGTGTGTTTCTGTTTTTAGCCCTCAATGGATTCCTTTTTGGAAACTTTCCTGAGCCTGAAATGTGTGTTGGTGAATCTGTGTCCTGGCATCTGTTTGGAATGGGGAATGAGATTGACATCCATTCCATCTATTTTTATGGTAACACCTTCATCAGCAGAGGGCATCGGACTGATGTTGTCAACCTGTTCCCAGCTACCTTCCTCACGGCAGAAATGATAGTTGAGAATTCTGGGAAATGGATGATAACCTGTCAAGTCAGTGACCATCTTCAAGGTATAAAGAACAAAGACCAGTGTGGAGCTGCTTAGAATGGCAAAATTAAACCAGTCACTGGTGCTTGTCCAGTGCTTGCTGTTTGGTATATATATGATGCTTAATTAAATATATAGGAAAACAGAACATTCTTTTAGTTGGCATTTTGCCCACAGATATTTGTTAATCATGTCCCTATGAACAAAATGGGAAGATTAAAAAATGATGACACCTCCAAAGAGCCAACAATCTAGTAGACACAAAATGAGTAAAATGCAGGCATGAGATCAATTTTCTGTGGACATTATACTCACTACTATAGAGGATCTGGGGCTTCCTGAGGAGTTGAATCCTAAACTGAACCTTAAAATGTGAGTAGGATTTGAATAGATGAAGAAAAGAAGGAAGAAAGGTTTCTAGGCAGAAGAAGAAATGTAAATTGAGAAAAGCACATGTTCTCTTTGGGTAAATGTATATAGAATAAATTTTTAGCACTGGAAAAGTCTGTTTAGATAATCAGCATCAATTCTCCATCCAGTTTTTGAATTTCATGTGAGTAATTGTATCAGCTTAGCACTTCTCTATACTGCTCTATTAGAATGTTCTTCCTTATTTTAAGAAAAAATTCATTGATATATATAGCATTCTTCATGCCCATGAAAGGTGGGTGAGATACGTGTGTTGACTTAAATGCCTATTGAATAACTCAGTCCTGGTTCTTTAAGACTGCACAGAATAGGTCCTTACTTAGCTGGACCATAAGGTTCATCCCAGAGGAGTGATGAGGGAGAAGCCTAAGGAGGTAGACTGGGCCCTCATGTTTTCAGCCCTCAGTGGATTATTCCCCCTTGAAAACATACTGAAGTCTGAAATATGTGTTGGTGGAAAGACTGGTTAAGCTAAGGAGGCGTGACTGTGTCTAAAAGGCATTTGTGAGTCTTAGATCCTTTGGCACACTAGTGGCATACCATAATCAGTATAGTGGTTTGGAAAGATTATTAAGACATATGTGTGCAGAAAGGATTCTGTGGGGAAAATGCTAGCTAAGAAGCATCGGCAGCATTATATGACATATAAAGTGTCAGATCTAAGATGGGAGAAAAGCAGGGAGAGAAAAAAATGTACCAGTGAGATTGACACAGGACAAATAATGTCTGATTAAATTTGGATACCTCTAACTATACACAGTCACTCACATACAGAGATCCAACTGTTCAGGGATCTTCAATAACACATTCTTATTCCTATCAACCTTATGCAACCAATCTTAGCATTAGTCAGCTGGGTTATTCCAGTTAAACTAAATTCAGCTCAGAAGTTGGTCAGTTATGTCCCAGATACGAGTCTGAGATGACAAGGATGAACAAAACAAGGCTCCTGTTCTTAAGGGGCCTCATGCTGATAAATCTAGGACAAAATTTTTGACTAGGAATTCCATATCTAGATTTAAAAACAAGACAATAGCAACCATTTGAGACTATTAAGTTGCCGAGTTTGGTCAGTGGTTTGTGAACGTAAGTTAATGTGCTTCCTGAACTGTCCATATCCTCAGAAAAAAGTCATAAAAGTTAGAAAATGTCTAATTTGATTTTAAAAATCAATAATCACATTTAGAGATGTTGGCATCATATTTTCATGAGTATGCTCCTTCACTATTTCCCACACCTTTATATATAAGTATGTCATTTATAAAACCAGTCTGTTAATACTGCTCTGTAGCTTACTTTTCCCACTTATTAATATATCAGAACAATATTTCATGACAGTGATATCAAAGTACTGTTAATGATTCCAGTGTCCACATTATTTAACCAACATCTATTGCTTAACAATTTTTCTCCATTTTTTGCTATTCTAAACAGTTTATATATATGCTTGCACTTCCATCTGAACATTTCCTTAGGAAAAGTAGATTTGGAATTCCTGGATCAGATTCCAATTTTTTTACAGCTGTGGACACACACTGCTCAAATTTTTTAAAGAACTTATTACTGTTCCACCCACATGTGTAAGCATACCCCTCCCTCCACTTATCTGCCAACACTAAGAATTGTTAATCCTTTGTAGTTTTTATCAATCATCTGATCAATGAATAGCAGTTCTGTTTGGCTTCAATTAAGGTATTAAGGTTGAAATACTTTTCATTTGTTTATTGGCTAATATTATTTCTTTCGTGAATAATCCATTTATGTTCCTTGTTAATTTTCTACTAGAGATGTACCTTTTTTCTTCTTGTTATTGATTTTTAATTAGTATGTATTGATTGCTCAAAGGTTTCATTGTGATATTTCCATACATGCATGTAATGTACTTTGATCAGGTTTGCCCCATTATTACTTATTCTTAGCCCCACCTTTTTTACAATTTTAATAGATTTCATTATTGTATTTTCATACATGGACATAAAGTACTTTTATCATAATTCCCCTCCCCTGCTGCCCTCTCCTTTTGCCCTCCCGACGATGCTGGGGATTGAACTCATGGCCTCATGTAAGCATCACACCAATGAGCTACAACCCAAGTGATTCACATATAAATCCTTTGTCATATATGCTACAAAATTTCTTCCTCCCCACAGCTGATCTTTTGTTTTTAACTTTGTTATAGACAATTTTCTGTATAAAAGTCTTAAATGTTCATGAAGACAAATCTGTTGATCTTTTCCTGTGTGGTTTCATTTACTCCCTGGTTTGTGGTTCTGCAGCTGGCATGCTGGGGCAATACAATGTTGGTAACTGCAAAAGTGACATTCTTCACCCCAAGATGAATGGGCAGCAGAGGCGCTACTTTATAGCAGCTGAAAAAATTCTTTGGGATTATGGTCCTCTAGGTTATGATAAATTCAGCGGTCTTCCCCTAAATGCCTCTCGCAGGTAAGCACCCTGGTGGTTCTAAGCCCCTCTCTAGAGAGGCATGCTGTTGACTTTCCCTGTGACCTTACTGGTATCTGGGCCCTGCTCTGATGAGTGTAATGTTTGTTGTTTAAGTAATCACATACCATTATGTCTATGAGTGCATTAAACAATGGGATACTAAAAATGATCACTCTTTTCCCAGGATCCTTTCTAAATTGTATTTGTGATCAACAATAAGACACACTTAGTTTCTTCATTTCATACGTTCTTCATTTCATACATACATATATACATACATTCTTCCACCAAAGTAAAGCACTTGAACCTTTCCTAGAGAACTTGTGGGAACCATATATGAAAAACTCTTTGGAGTCTACTTTCATTATTGGCCAGTGTGAGAACTAGATTTTAAAATGATGCCTTCTAGAATTCTGAAGTGCCTTCTGAAATAGAAAAGATTAGACTATATTCAACTGATATTTAATGTGATATATGAAAACAGAATGCATTAGCTAGCATGAGGGATACAAAGATGTCTAGGACATTGTTCCTGCCCTTATGCAGAGAAATTAACTGTGCACAGGAGAGAGAAATAACTTTACAAGTTATGAGTAAGAGTCAGTGAATTCTCTGGGTCTTCAGAGATAGCAAAGATAGCCAGGGAAGAGGAATTGAAGCAGAATCTTCAAGAGTGACAAAATTTATGTAAGTGAATAGTAAAGAGAGTGAAATATTGGATGCAGGGGTTACTGCAAAGCTCCTGTTATATCAGAGAGATTGTTCAGGTCAGAATGATTGAGTGGAGCACTTGCATAGGGAATGAGGACTTACACAGAGCAATGGGTTGAGGATTGGGATGAACTGGGTTTCAATTGAAGAGTCCTTTAATACTTTTGAAACTTGTTTGATTGGCAATTGGAAACAATTGAAAATTTGGGGACAGGTAAATGACAATGACCATGACCATTGCAGATACTAATGTTGTAATAGTGTTTATTCTGGGAAAAGAAATTAAATTGAGCCAATGTGAGATAGAGGGTGTAGATTGTGCTAATTGTACAGTCCCAATGTTCTAAACCCAGGTGATGAGGGTACCAACTAAGGTTGTAGTATTGAAAAGTGAGGAAAAGAAAAGATGTAGAAAGAGTGCTGAAAAGGAAGAGTACAAAAAATTTACAATGTAATGGTGAATGAGATAGAAATAGAAGAGAAAGACAGTCTGTGTGATTACAAGAGCGATCTTACCATTGGTGGAAACAAGACAGTAGAGAGATAGTATTAGTCATATGTTATATTATTACATTTTACATCTTTAAAATTTGTTACTTCATGTATATGGCTTATAAGCCTCCATTAATTAAACTATTTGACACTCCATTCCTTAATCATTCCAGATATAAAAAAGCTTACTATACCAGGAGTGGAGGCTCACACCAGTAATCCTAGCTTCTTGGGAAGTAGAGATCAGGAGAATTTTGGTTCCAGGCCTGCCAGGGCAAAAAAGTTAGTGAGACTGCATCTCAATGAAAAAGCTGGGCATGGTGGTGTATACCTGTCATCCCAGCTGCACAGGAGGTATAAAATAGGAGTATAAGTCTAGGCCAGCCTAATCAAGAAAAGTGAAACACTACCTGAAAAATAACTAAAGTGAAAAGGGCTGGGGGGGGGGTCAAGTCTTGTGAGGTAGAGAACCTGCCTAGCAGGTGTAAGACTTTGAGTTAAAACCCCATACCAGGGAGGGAAAAAAAAACCGACAACTTACTGTATGCAGAGCTTATTCATATTGACATCAGCAAGTGATAGAGGAATGCTTTTTCTACAAAGAAACAAGTTAGCTCTTTATTACTTTGTAGGACACCATTCTGGGACTCCAATATTGGTAAGTAAGGAGTTTACCTGTGACTTCTTTGGTTGCTGAACTCTGGGAAGGAGGTATAATGGCAAAGAGAGAAATGATCTTGAGCCCTATCCAGCTTCTGCAGACATTTAAGGCTGGTTGACTCTCCCTTGGGATCTTTGTTGATGCTGGGGACTTTAGGGGGTAAGTGGGATAGATAACAAGATGAGACTCCATAATTAATGTATTTATGGATGTGTTAGGATTATTCTCAGCTAGGCTCCTGTCTTTCACAGTGATGCTGCAGTCTACTTCACACAAGGGGAAAACAGAATAGGAGGACAATATTGGAAAGCTCAGTTTGTGGAGTATGTTGATGCAACTTTTACTCGAAGAAAGAGACCCTCTGGGACAGAAGTCCATCTTGGAATTCTTGGTGCAGTAAAACCATCCTTATATTTTGGAGGGGAAGCTATTTCACCTGGGAGTATACATTTTGATGCAATGATACTTCTGCTCCTATTTACTTCTTTTTTGTCTCTTTTCATCCACTTCTCTCCCATTTCAAAATTTACAGGTCCAGTTATCAAGGCAGAGGTGGGTGATACCCTGCTGGTGACCTTTGCCAACAAAGCTGACAAAGTCTACAGCATTTTGCCCCATGGTGTGCTCTATGATAAAGCATCTGATGCAGCCCCAAATATAGATGGTAAGTCTCAGCCTGAGCTTAGGAAGGGAAGAGGATGAGTGAGGAAAAGACTAAAAACTAGACAGGTTCAAGTCCTGGTGGTTTCCCTTCCCAACTCTGAGAATGTGATCAATTATTTTAACTTCCTGAATAGCATGCACTTCATAGGGCTTTGGAAAGGGATGGAAAGAATGCAGGAAGGATCAGGCCCATAGCAGGTTCTTAGGAGAGGTTAATTCTTTCCTTTCCCCTCAGCAGAGTAGTAAACTCAAAGTGACTACTTCCACTTCTCTAAAATGGCGAGCCTTTCTGCTGCAAGTTGCACAAGATTCTGCTGGTGACAGCTGAGGGGAAAACCTCATTTCCAATGTTTTGTTAACAAGATTTTGTTAAATCTTACACATAGTCTTTGCTCTGTACACTACCATCACATATTTAGTTAGTATACTTTCAGCAAAGTAGCAGGATATAAAATCAATTAATAAAAATCAGTAGCCTTTCTATTTGCCAACAATGAACAGACTGAATACAGGAAAACAATTCCATTTACAAAAAATAAAATATTTAGGAATTAACTTAATAAAGGAAGTGAAAGATCTCTACAATGAAAACTATGAGCCATTGAAGAAAGAAATTGAAGAAGACTACAGAAGATGCACATGGAATTAATATTGTGAATCAACATTGCAAAAAGTGCTATACTACCAAAATCAATCTACATGTTCAATGCAATTCCTATCAAAATTCCAATGACATTCATCACAGAGATTGAAAAATTCAACCCTAAAGTCCATTTGTAAGCACAAAAGATTGCAAATATCCAAGCAATACTGAGCAAAAAGAACAATGCTGGAAGTATCACAATACCTGACTTCAAACTATTCTATGGGGCCATAGCAATAAAAACAGCATGGTGCTGGCACAGAAACAGACATCAAGACTGATGGAACAGAACAGAATCCACACAACTACACCCACCTGATTTTTGATGAAGACACACAAAACATAAGATGGAGAAAAGACAACCTCCTCAACAAATGTTGCTGGGAAAACTGTATATCTGCATGCAAAAGCTGAAACTAAATTCTTCTCTCTCACTCTATACAAATGTCAACTCAAAGTGGATTAGGTGTCTTAACCTAAGACTTGAAACCTTGAAGCTAGTGTAGAAAATACACTGGAATTAATAGGCATAAGGTAATGACTTCCTAAATAGAACTCAAATGGCTCGCCAACTAAGAGAAAAGATTGACAAATGGGATTATATGAAATTTAAAATGTTCTGTACAACAAAGGAAATGGTCACCAGATTGAAGAGGCAGCCCACAGAATGGGACAAGAATTTTGCCAGCTATACATCTGACAAAGGATTGATAACCAGAATATACAGGGAGTTCAATAAACTAAACTCCAAAAAAAAAAAAAATCAATGACCCAATGAAGAAATGGGCAAATGAACTGAAAAGAGCTCTTTTGAAGGAAGAAGTCCAAATGGCTAAAAATCAACATTCCTGGCCACAAGGGAAATGGAAATCAGAACCACATAAAGACCCCACCTCACTCTTGTTAGAATGACTATCATCAAGAGCTCAAACAACAATAAATGTTGGTGAGGATGTGGGGAAAAAGGAACCCTCATACACTGTTGGTGGGAATGTAAATTACTATAACCACTGTGGAAAACAGTATGAAGGCTCCTCAAAAAACTAAAAACAGAACTGCCATATGATCCTAGCAATCAGCACTCCTAGGAATATATTCAAAGAAATATATGTCAGGTAATAATAAAGACACCTGCTCCACCTATATTTATTGCAGCATTATTCAAAATAGCTAAGCTATGGAGATAGCCAAGATGCCCTAGTGTGAGGCCAGGCCCAGTCAGGATTATGCTTTGTGGTAATGGCAAGGGAAAGGAGAAGGAAGAAATGGACAATTCTCACTCCCCAGGCCCATTCTCATACTCTCCTGTTGCAGTGCCTCCTGTACCTGTGTTCTCTTCCTCAGTCAAAAAGCTCAGAATGACTGTGTGTGTGTATGTGGGTGGGGGCAGAATGCAGAAAGAATACCAGGCCCAGCCAAAATGTCTGTCTTCATTTTTCAGCTCAGAAAAGTTGTTTTTTCATTTTTATTGGGATATATTTGTTGTACAAGGAGTATTCTTTGGACAATTCTGAATAGGCTTACATTGTACATTGGTTAGATCGCCCCCAACATTGCTCCACCTCAAACTCATTCCCTCCCCACTTAAAGCAATTGCAAGAGGTTTCATTGTTCTATTTCCCATATGTATATGCAGCCCATCAACAATATCCCACACCTTCATCTCCTCCTCACCTCCTTCCTCCCATAAGTATCGCCCCACCCCCACCTGTACCTATTTTACAGTCCTGTCTTTCATTATTAATTACAGAGTCAGTGTTCAGAAGGGTTTCTTGATGTATCCTTGTTGGGAGCATAATTTACTTTGGTCAATAAAGAAAACTTTGATCAGTAAGGAAACATATTGGGTGCATTTTTTGCAAAGTACAGGGCATGATGCAAAAAGAATCTGTGGCCTTCTCCAGTAAGAGAGATTCAATGTGTTCTTTGGTAATACAAAATGAGAATTAATTGCAATTTTCTAAGTCAGACAGACCTGAGCTTATATCCTGATTTGCCATTAACAGCTTTGTAACCTTGGACATTCACTCCCCTCTTCTGTCTTGTAGTTATTTAGATTATTTGCTTGTTCAAGCTCCCAGTCTCCCAGATTTGAAACTCTTTAAAGATAGGGTTCTTATTTAACTCTTGGGAGTAGTTTCTGCAGGACTAAGTATAATACATTTCACATAAAAAGCACTCAATGATATCTTACTGGATTTGCATTTAAAAGGAATACTATCACTCAACATTTGCTAATGCTGGTATTTGTACAATCTACAAGTAATCCTTTGATTTCAGCTTCTATCTCATAAAACAGCAGTGGCCTCCACTGGTGGAATATGTATGAGAAGACAATTTCCTTCTACAAAATGTGTCAGCATCAGAGAGCAGGCCAGGGCTGGAGACCTAGTCTGACAAGACTGGGATGTTGCTTTCAGTAACAAATTCACTTGTTTCCTCAGGATTTCTGAAACCAGGGGCACATGTTAAGCCAGGTGAAACCTTCACATACAGGTGGACAGTACCTGAAAGTGTCAGCCCGACAGATGATGATCCCTCTTGCTTGACCTACCTTTACTTCTCAGCAGTTAAGGCAATCGAGGACACCAGTGCTGGCCTTGTAGGACCTTTGCTAGTCTGTAAAAAGGGTGTTCTCAATGCTGATGGGACACAGGTAGGTCATCAATGCCACCAAGTTGTTGTCAGTGTTGTATGTGGGAGGGACCTGCAATGTGGCTAGAGGTTAGCTAGTGATAAAGAGTCAGTTATAGGATCAGTGTCTCTTCCTCTTGAAATTGACTTCATAATGAGGATATTATTTTTTAACTTACGATTTAAATTTCCAAAGTAACTAAACCCCACCCAGGATTATAGCATTTCTGCTTGCTATAGCTGGGACTCTGTGGGTCTCATTCTGCTGTGTCTTACTTTGATTCTGGAATCTTCAGAGTTCTACATGGAAATGTGATTTACTTTGTATGAACTTTGAAAGTGCAACAGTGCTATGACTTCCTTCAAGTTTTTTGTGTATGTTTCTTTCTTCTCTGTAGAAAGGAATAGACAAGGAATTTTACCTATTGTTCACAGTCTTTGATGAGAATCTGAGTGGGTATTTTGATGAAAACATTCAGAAGTTTACTTGGCGTCCCTCCAGTGTCGACAAGGAAGAGAAAAAGTTCATGAAATCCAACAGAATGCATGGTATGTTAAATAGTTTCCCCTTTGTAAATGAAAGGCTTAATTGCTTGTAAAATGCTTGTGATATCTTAACTATTTTAATCTTGGTTTCCTGGGTATTGCTCTTGGTCACAAAGTAAGTTATTTCTATTTTCAGGTTCACAGAGTATCTCCCAGAGATGTTGGGAAACTTAATTTTTACTTTCAAAACACTTTATCAGCCTTAAATGAAACAAAACAGAATTTAAAGTAGCAAAATCACAGTACATCAGAAATGTAGAAAATTACTGACAAATACCTCCCTTGGGATTTTCATAACATCCAGTCTGATAAACCAAGAGAAAATAGGAAATAATCTTACACAGCAAAGTATCACAGATTAGGTAGTAGGAGTGACTGCTCTTAATTTGTCAAAATACTAGCCATTCCGATCCCAGATCTTCATTTGGAAGTACTTAGTTTTCTCTCCCAGTCTCTCTTTATGTCAAGTGTTACAGTCATAAGCCACCTAGTACTTGGTTGTGACTAAAAGGAGAGTTGGTCTTGGACAATTACCTAAGGTGGCAGAATACTGAGCAAGAAACCAAACTCAATGCCTGTGAAACAGTGTGTTGGACAAAAGTACTAAAGCAAGTGTTGTAAGGCAACAGGTGCAAAACTGCTTGTTTAAGAACTAAACATAGCACCTATTTACTGCCTTGTAAAACACTGCAGAAGAATAAAACATAGCCCCAAACTCTCTCCCAACTGGGGAAGTCCAAAAAGTTCAAGGTTACAAGTGACCCACAGCAACCAGATCATAGATTTCCATGGTCGCTGACGCTCAGTTCCAAGAGCCACCTCTTGGACCAGCAGAAAGCAGGGAGCAATGCATTTAATATCACCTTCTAAGAAAAGCTTTGCTATGTCTGGATAGAATTTGTTTGTGAACTTCTTAGTAGACTGTAAAAAAGAGAAATTAAGCTAGAAATGAAAAAACATAGTACTTTCTTAGTTGGGAAGCCAAATTGTGAAAGAAATTTATCATCAGAGGCCCTTATATAGAAGATATAAGACAACTAGATGGACCATATCAAATTCAGCACCAATCTGATGTGCCACTGTGAAATTCATTTTAATATGTCATTTTAAAAGCAACATTCAGGGAAAATAATGTAGCTGAGTTCAAGTTGCACTTTAATTATAAACTAAGTTCTAACTTCAGTCTTGCTTTCATGGGGTGAGAGGAAAAAACCAACAAAGTCAAAGAGACAGGGCCTCACATGGTACCATGAAATAATTCTATCGATAAATTGTGCATGAAAACAATCTAACTTATTCCCTATTTATACTTAGAATTAATGTCCTTGCATATATGTTAAAATTTACAATATTAATATATTTTATTATTCATAATTTTGGTCACTCTTTTACATTCATTGACCTATTTCCCTAGTAGCATTTATTCTCTAATAACAAGGATATTCTGTACACAGTGCACATACTTGAAATCTCCTCCCCGAACACGCTGGTAATCTCCCAGCATGATAGTGTGTTTCAGTATGTCTGCCTAATTTTCCAGTGGCTCTGACTGTCTTCTCCCTTCTACTCAGCTGTCAATGGCTATATGTATGGCAACCAGCCAGGCCTGAGCATGTGCAAAAATGACAGGGTTTCTTGGCATTTGATTGGAATGGGCACTGACACCGACATGCATGGAGTTTATTTTCAAGGAAACACCATCCACCTCCGGGGGACTCATCGTGATTCCCTGGCTCTGTTTCCCCACATGTCTATAACAGCATTCATGCAGCCAGATCATGCAGGTAAACTTGGTGGGTCCCTCTTATGTGACCAAATTCCAGTTCACCCTCATCCAGTCTTCCTCAAGAAGAAACTGGTAGACTTTGTGTGCTTTAAGGTGTGTAGAAACAGGTATAGTTCGACTCAAATCAGAAAATCCTGGCTATTTTAGTCCAAACACACAAGGTAAAGGAAAGCAGAAATGGGAGACCTCTTAATGACTTGACACACAAATCCCAGGTGAATGTTCTTGATTCACATCCATGAAAATTCATCCCTGAGAAAGAGGATATTTCTTGCTCTCATTAATTATGAATTCATTCTAGTTGCTGCTCTGAAGCATCTACTTGCATAGCAGCCCATTGGATGTGGGGATATGGATGTAACCATACTGTGACCTGTCCTCCCTTCCTTAACAATTTACAGTGACCTTTGGATTAGTTCTTCTCCACTGGTTTTTTTGTTGTTGTTGTTCTTGGGCATCCTTGCTTTCCCCAGAGGGCAAGCTGCACTGGATCTGGACCCCACAGAGGTTCTTATAAAATGTCAGTACATGAAACTTCTTTTCTTAGAGATTCTAAATAAATGGAGCATTTTTATTAAAGATGTAGAACAACACGTGGGAGCATTTGTTACCTTCCACATGAAAAGTGAAGAAAGTAAGTGACATGGCGTTCAACATGTTTTTTTACCCTACATCATCAGTCTTAACAAGAAACCAATGTGCGACCCAAGGTGTGTACCTGATGACTCTCATTTGTTAATGGATGTGCTACTTCTTGACTTCACACTGGAACTGCTGTTGAGATGCCTCTGCGTCATCAATTAAAAACTTGAGGCTTAGGCTTCAAAACATTTGCCCAAGGACCCTCTGCCACTAGGAGTTCTTCATTCTTTGCCTTATAAACTTGTAAAACTTCTTGTAGCGCTCAGCCTCTCTACATTATTAGCATAGGTGACCAGTTACGAATCACTGAAACTAAGACTGACTTCAACGCAATGCTGTGGTTTTTAATACACTCTTCAAGACCAAAGAAGGAAGGGGACTGGGAAGCAGCCAAATAATTTTAATACATATAAACAGCTACTAAAGGATAGAGCTGGCTGTAATAATTTTAGAGATTTTGCTATTTGTTCCAGTGCTTTGTTCATTAATCGTGTGCCCAACAGGCTTCTATGGAACTGCATAACAATGTTTTCTGATTTATATTTGGTGTCATTGCTTAAGAACCTGGTCATTTTGCTAATTCTTGTCCCTTACCTAGAAGCAGAGAAGAGTTGTCAAAAAGTGGGTAGAGCAGACAGTGGCTGCAACTCAAACATTTCTTCTTTGTTCTTAGGAATTCCTCATTGTTGTACCACAGTAATATATACATCAATATATCATGGTCTACCTGAAAAAAAAAAAAACGAACAACACCTGCACAGGAGATCTTTCCAAGTCTGCCTTCAGAGATGTCTTCTCTGTGGTTTCACAAAAACCTTGCATTTTGCCTTTAATAATGATAAAATTTTCCTTTTTATAGTGCTTTATGAGTATCTTGTTCAAGGGAGCTCATTGAATCCATTATTTTTGCTCATCCCAGAAGGAATTTGGGAATATTTGGACAATCATTGTATGTGTAGTAAGACTACAGCTGTCTGTGCATTGTAGATGGCTAATGACAGACATGTCATCTCTAACAACAGTCTAGTAGAGAAAAGGAAGGCCCACTGATCCAATGACCTCACCCAGGGTTAACATCTTCAATAATTTTGTTGATTTTATGGTGAGTTAATTAGGATATATCTACCTGATGTCAATGCATCTATAAAATTCAGTTTAAGAATCACATAAATTTCAGTCATACATGACTGTTGACATTATGCAGAGCAATATTATTTTTGGGGGGTGGGGCTGGGATTTGAACTCAGGGCTTTGAGCTTGCAAAGCAGGTGCTCCATCACATGAGCCACACTACCAGTCCATTTTGCTTTGGTTATTTTGGAGATGGGGTCTTGTGAACTATTTTTCTGAACTGGTCTAAAATCATGATCCTCCCCATCTCAGCCTCCCAAGTAGCCAGGATTACAGATGTGAGTCACTGGTGCCCAGCTCTGATTTTCTTTTTTTAACTTTACATTTAGGATAAGGTAAAACAGCCATTAGACACAAAACTCTCTTTTGCTCTAGGCCTTCATGAAACAATCCATTTTAAAAAAATTTATTATTTTCCTTTATTCATATATGCATACAATGTTTGGGTCATTTCTCACCCCTTCCCCTCGCCCCCTCCTACTTACCCCCACCTCCTCATTATCAGGCAGAAACTATTTTGCCCTTATCTCTAATTTTGTTGAAGACAGAGTATAAGCAATAATAGGAAGGACCAAGGGTTTTTGCTAGTTGAGATAAGGATAGCTATACAGGGAGTTGACTCGCATTGATTTCCTGTACATGTGTGTTACCTTCTAAATTAATTCTTCTCAAAATAACCTTTTCTCTAGTCCCTGGTCCCCTTCTCCTATTGGCCTCTGTCACTTTAAAGTATCTGCATTAGTTTCTCTGCATTGAGGGCAACAAACGCTATCTAGTTTTTTGGGTGTCTTGCCTATCCTCATACCTCCCTTTGTATGCTCTCGCTTTATCATGTGATCAAAGTCCAATCCCCTTGTTGTGTTTGCCCTTGATCTAAAGTCCGAATATGAGAGAGAACATATGATTTTTGGTCTTTTGGGCCAGGCTAACCTCACTCAGAATGATGCTCTCCAATTCCATCCATTTACCAGCGATTGATAACATTTCATTCTTCTTCATGGCTGCATAGAATTCCATTGTGTATAGATACCACATTTTCTTGATCCATTCGTTAGTAGTGGGGCATCTTGGCTGTTTCCATAACTTGGTTATTGTGAATAGTGCCGCAATAAACATGGGTGTGCAGGTGCCTCTGGAGTAACCTGTGTCACAGACTTTTGGGTATATCCCCAAGAGTGGTATTGCTGGATCAAATGGTAGATTAATGTTTAGCTTTTTAAGTAGCCTCCAAATTTTTTTCCAGAGTGGTTGTATTAGTTTACATTCCCACCAACAGTGTAAGAGGGTTCCTTTTTCCCCACACCCAGCCAACACCTGTTGGTGGTGGTGTTGCTAATGATGGCTATTCTAACAGGGGTGAGGTGGAATGTTAGTGTGGTTTTAATTTGCATTTCCTTTATTGCTAGAGATGGTGAGCATTTTTTCATGTGTTTTTTGGCCATTTGAATTTCTTCTTTTGAGAAAGTTCTGTTTAGTTCACTTGCCCATTTCTTTATTGGTTCATTAATTTTGGGAGAATTTAGTTTTTTGAGTTCCCTGTATATTCTGGTTATCAGTCCTTTGTCTGATGTGTACTGGCAAATATTTTCTCCCACTATGTGGATGGTCTCTTCAGTTTAGAGACCATTTCTTTTGTTGAGCAGAAGCTTTTTAGTTTTATAAAGTCCCATTTATCTATGCTATCTCTTAGTTGCTGTGCTGCTGGGGTTCCATTAAGAAAGTCTTTGCCTATACCTATTAGTTCCAAAGTATTCCTACTCTTTCCTGCACCAACTTTAGAGTTTGGGGTCTGATATTAAGATCCTTGATCCATTTTGAGTTAATATTGGTATAGGGTGATAAACATGGATCTAGTTTCAGTTTTTTGCAGACTGCTAACCAGTTTTCCCAGCAGTTTTTGTTGAAGAGGCTGTCTTTTCTCCCTCGTATATTTTTAGTGTCTTTGTCAAAGATAAGTTGGTTATAGTTGTGTGGCTTCATATCCCGGTCTTCTATTCTGTTGCACTGGTCTTCATGTCTGTTTTTGTGCCAGTACCATGCTGTTTTTATTGCTATTGCTTTGTAATATAGTTTGAAGTCAGGTATCGTGATACCTCCAGCATTTTTCTTTTGACTGAGTATTGCCTTGGCTATTTGTGGCCACCTTTGTTTCTATACAAATTTGACGGTAGATTTTTCGATCTCTTTGATGAATGTCATTGGAATTTTGATGGGAATTGCATTAAACATGTGGATTACTTTAGGGAGTATAGACATTTTTACTATGTTGATTCTACCAATCCATGAGCATGGGAGATCTCTCCACTTTCTATAGTCTTCCTCAATCTCTTTCTTCAAAAGATTATAGTTTTCCTTGTAGAGGTCATTCACATTCTTTGTTAAGTTTATACCTAGCTATTTATTTTTTTGAGGATATTGTAAATGGTGTTCATTATTAGCATATAGAAATGATAATGATTTTTCTATGTTGATTTTATATCCTGCTACCTTGCTACACCTGTTGATGGGTGTCTAGGAGTTTTTGAGTAGAGGTTTTTTTTGGTCTTTAAGGTATAGGATCATGTCATCTGCAAATAGGGATATTTTGACAGTTTCTTTACCTATTTGTATTCTTTTTATTCTTTCTTCTTGCATAATTGCTCTGACTAGGAATTCCAGTACTATGTTGAATAGGAGTGGAGATAGTGGGCATCCTTGTCTTGTTCCTGATTTTAGAGGGAATACTTTCAGTTTTTCACCATTAAGTATAATGCTGGCTGTAGGTTTATCTATATAGCTTTTACAATGTTGAGGTATTTTCCTTCTATTCCTAGTTTTTTTTACAGCTTTTATCATGAAATGGTGTTGGATCTTATCAAAGGCTTTTTTTGACTATTGAGATGGTCAAGTGGTTTTTACTTTTGTTTTTGTTGATGTGGTTTATTACATTTATTGATTTTTGTATGTTGAACCACCCCTGCTTTCCTGGGATGAAGCCTACTTGGTCGTGGTGAATGATCTTTTTGGTGTGTTGCTGTATTCGGTTTACCATTATTTTATTAAGGATTTTTGCATCAATGTTCATTAAGGAGATTGCCCTATACTTCTTTTTGGAGGTGTCTTTTTCTGGTTTTGGGATGAGTGTAATACTGGCTTCATAAAATGTGTTAGTCAGTTCTCCTTCCCTTTTTATTTTGTGGAACAGTTTAAGGAGGGTTGGTATTAGTTCTTCATTAAAGATCTGAT